GTCGTCATTCACTCACAGCAGGAAATGTAGACTGTATCCAAACTTTAGTCAAATACTGAACAAACTTGCGTATCTGTCCATCCTGATGTGTGTTGTCACAGAGTCTGAGGGGAGGTCATTATCGTCCTCAGCCCTCTGTGCACCAGTGGAACCAGTGCTGAGGTCTGCTCAGGCTGATTGGTCTCACTGGTTGACAGCTCTGGCTGTAATTTGCTTCAGAGGGAATTAGTGGAAACTGTGGCTAATGTGAAGAGGCCTCAGGGACAAACATGTTGACAGGCTGAAATGACCTTTGACCTGAGGGACTTGGGACAGTGATGTAACTTTCCCAGCAGCCTCTGCAGGGTTTCTTTGAACTGCAACTGAGAATAAACTTAGTTTTTGTTTTTATTCTTGAGTATCACTGGTTTGATTAGGAGTTTGAGAACCTGACTCTGTGTTTAAAATTTAGTTTTTTATTGTAAGAAGGAACTACAAACTCCACTTCTAGTTTAAACAATCTAAAAAAACTGCAGTCCACACATTGTCATTGACTCTAACAGGACAGTGAGGCGTGAGGTGCAACAGACCAAATAATCTTTTGAGATGCCTTCAAACTTTTCCCTGTAGATGATGCCTTAATTTACTCCTTTGTCTTCTTTTTAATATATATAATTATCCAGCTGTGATCAGCTGCTGCCGTCATCAGAAACAGACGTCACGTCATGCTTTAGAGGAAAGGTCTCATTTCTCTAAAAACATATTTCCTAGTTTCTTCTCCTTCTGCATGGTTTCGCAAGACGAAAAGACGCAAGTGAGGGAAACATGGATACAATTAAGAGAAGTGAGAAGCACCAGATGTCATGGAATTGATTAACGGGGAGCAGAGAGACTGGAATTCTGTCATTTGGGTTTTTGAGGAAGCAGATATTCTGTCCATGTTAATGTGGTCTAATGTGGAGATTCCTGTATTGGGTGATACTTAAATTGATTTTAGCCTTCCACTTCACGAGGATAGTTTTCTTGGCAACGCATGGGGCAGTGAGAACCCGTATGACGGTGTCAACGTCTATACTAATGTCACTTAGGTCCCACAGCATATCTTCTGCCAGAACCTTTGGACAGTTGCACATTGCCACAAAGAATGAATACTACTGTCAGTGCAGACAAATGTTTGACTGCACAAGACGCATTCTGAACATCCTTTGTCCTGCATAGTGTGTGCTATGGAGAGCTTTATACTATATGAGATGTAGATTTTTAGTTCTGGCCTGCGAGCCGCCTAATGCTGCCCACTGCTCTAGTGAGTCTGTTCTGCTAACCCAGCTGGGCAGCACATCTCTTGGTCTGTCTGTGTAGACTTTGTGTCTGAACAATGTTATTTTATGTTTAATAAATGACTATGGGCAACAGTGTTTTAAACTTCAGCTCAGAAAAGATAACAGCATCATGCCTGGACATGCGTTCATGTGCACATGCACAAAATTAATCTTCTAGCAGCAACCTCGGTGAGTACCAGACAATACACAGATGTGATGGCATTCCTTGTAGCATTCCTGGGCAGCCTGGGCAAATCGAAACATAGTAAATGGGCGGCGCGGTGGAGCAGCGGTTTGCAACAAGGTCGAACCTTGGTCATCCCAGGCCTTTCTGTGTGGAGTTTGCGTGTTTGCGTGTTTGCCCGTGTCTTTCCTTCTTCTGTACTCCTTATGTTAGTCTGTCCACATTTACTAGGGTTTAGTTCAGACCTGTGAGATTTGTTGGTGTTTTTCTTTCTTGCTGTTTCTCTCCTTTGCTTGAATGTGCACAATTTACACGACACTAGTGAGTGTGCAGCTTGTATAACAGTGTAAATTTGCTGTTCCCTCAAAATAACACATTGCACAGCCATTAATGTCTAAAGTGAGGACACCAAATTGGGCCCATAGTGTCAATATTTTGTGTGGCCACCATTATTTTCCAGCACTGCCGTAACCTCTGGGACATGGAGTTCAGCAGAGCTTCACAGGTCGCCACTGGAGTCCTCTTCCACTCCTCCATGACAACATGACGGAGCTGGTGGATGTTAGAGACCTTGTGCTCTTTCACCTTCTGTTTGAGGAGCCCCACAGATGCTCAGTAGGGTTCAGGTCTGGAGACATGCTCGACCAGTCCGTAACCTTTACCCTCAGCGTTTTTAGCGAGGCAGCGGTCGTCTTGGAGGTGTGTTTGGGGTCGTTATCATGTTGGAATACTGCCCTGCGGCCCAGTCTGTGAGGGGAGGGGATCCTGCTCTGCTTCAGTGTGTCACAGTTCATGTTGGCATTCATGGTTCAGACCAGTTTGATGCAGTGTGCGGCGTATGGGCTGAGCCCTGATAGGCTGACCCCCACCCCTTCAGCCTCTGCAGCAATGCTAGCAGCACTCATACGTCTGTTTCCCAAAGACAACCTCTGGATATGACGCTGAGCACGTGCGCTCAGCTTCTTTGCTCGACCATGGCGAGGCCTGTTCTGAGTAGAACCTGTCCTGGTGAACCGCTGTATGGTCTTGGCCACCGTGCTGAAGCTCAGTTTCAGGGTCCTGGCAGTCTTCTTACAGCCTCGGCCATCTTTATGTAGAGCAACCGTTCTTTTTTTCAGATCCTCAGAGAGTTCTTTGCCATGTTGAACTTCCAGCCACCAGTATGAGGGAGTGTGAGAGCGATAACAACAAAGTTAACACACCTGCTCCCCATTCACACCTGAGACCTTGTAACACTAACGAGTCACATGACACCGGGGAGGGAAAATGGCTAATTGGGCCCAGTTTGGACATTTTCACTTCGGGATGTACTTACTTTTGTTGCCAGTGGTTTAGACATTAACGGCTGTGTGATGTGTTATTTTGAGGGGACAGCAGATTTACACTGTTATACAAGCTGCATACTCACTAATTTACACTGTTGTTAAGAGTCATTTCTTCATTGTTGTCACATGAACAGATAAAATCACATATTTACAAAATGTGAGGGGTGTACTCACTTTGTTAGATACTGTAAGTACAGTCATTGGAAAATGAAGAGAGGGTTTTTGGATTAAAGAGCAGCTGACCACGATCTACCTAGCCCAAACAACCGGACCAGGCATCACGGCAGGTGCGGTGATCGCGTAGAGAGGAAAGAGAGCCAGGAGAGGAGCCATGTTGGTCCAACTTGGACTTAATTCTGCACCTAAAGATCTGGTCTGGACAAAATGGGACTCATGTTGGCCAAGCAATGGAATTCAGAGACTGTTTTCCCCACATGGTCACAGAGACCTGATCCATAAACATCCCGGATCAAGCACTCGACAGGTGGTCCATGTTCCAAGCCGTCAGCGCAAGACTCTGGCAAGATGAGAGGAGGGTGGACTCTGTGTTTACCATCGATGATGCTCGGTGCTTAAACACAGCCAAGATGGATTCCCAAATGTCAGACAGTTTATTGTGAAGATGAAACTTTAATACCATCATCTGGTTGTTGCTGTTTACATTCACCCCAGATGCAAATTCAAAAAATGCACTGCAGAATGTTCTAGGTAGATACATGTATATAAAAAACTGTATATATTGTTTTACTTTATATGTAACCATATTTTAATACAAACTTAATTATATGTGTAGCATGAAGGAACTACAGATTGTGTTTTATTATGCAGCCTTTTGCTGTATAATGACATAACATGACATCACATAACTTTGGCTTTTTGGACTGTTGGACGGACAAAATAAGACATTTAAAAATGTCACTTTGAATTGTGAAGATTTTGGAAGGGAGTTCCCAACAATTGATTTAATAATAAACATGTTCATAACTACCAGGTTAACTTTGCCTCTATCTGTATTTTGAAATTTGAATTCATTTCCAGTGAGTGACAATTGATTTCTTTTTACTATTCAACTCAACTGCGTACGCACAATTACTGACATCTACATTAGAATGGTCCTCCAGGTCATAGTTATCCAAGGAAGGTAAAAATCAAGAGCAACTGGATTGTTGAAGATACTTACTGTCTATTAGAGTAGAAGAAAATCTTAGCACTTGTTAATCAGTTGTTTGCGTTTAGCTCTAGTTCCTGGAAGTTGAATGCACTTATTTTAAGTAACTTTGGAACCAAACATCACACAATGTCACTCAGATCAAGTTTTTTGAGACTTATATTTTTTATTTTGTTTTACAATACAAATAAAAAATCTTCCAACCACAAAAAAATGAAAGAGGCAGTGGGCCGGACGACCTGACAGTAGCACAACAACAACAAAACAAAACAAGGGGCCCAAGGCAGCTTGGTGTATCTGAAGTAAGACTTCAGCATAGAGGTTTGTCCAGTGTCCACTGAACCATTGTCACATGAGGAATCACAATCCTTAAATAACAGAATAGTGTCCATATTATAGAGTCCGTGTGATAACTACTGAAGCGCCCTCACCACCTTTATAGGGAAATCAAAAATGTGACAGGATTAAAAGAAAAATAGATTTAAAATGAATATATATACATACACACAGACACCTGTGTGTACAATCACATATGCACACACATACGTTGCAAGTACAGATAATTTGTTGAGACAGAGGTTGTTGACAGACAGATGAAAAAACTACTTAACAGTAAGGTAGGAAAGACGAAACTAAAGAGTCTGGGAATTAGTCCATTAAGTTGCGTGTAATGAGTGGAATTGCGAAGGCTTTCCACTGGTCATTGTACTTCTCTACTCATCCGACTGTATTATATTTTCTCAAATGCCGCCACCGTACCCAGTTCTGAGACCCATTCCTGAAATAATGGGCCAGCAGCATCTTTCCACTTTCTCATTATTATCTGTTTGCCAATCATGATGCTTGTCTGGACCCAGTTAGCTAAGGGTTTTGCCACGTGCAATCTTCTCAGATCAAGTTTAAAAGCCCGAAACAAAAAGCAGAATAAAAAACTAAAAGATCACCTTTTCATTAGTCTTGACCCTGGTGAAGTCAGGGGAGGCGTCTTCATTTTTCATGGATGTAAAACTGAACTGTTGCATGAGCTATACTTCACCACACAGCAGACGCTTGCAGATGTAGCGGATTTTGGACATTTTCAGCCCGTATAGTATGGGGGTAAAGAGAGGCTGGCATGTTATAAAGTATAATGATAAAAAAATGTCTGACACACTGGGTACAGTGCTCATATCAAACCTGCTCTGTAATATTTGAAAACAGCTACCAAAAGAAAAGTTGAGCAGAGACACAAGGTGAGGAGTGCAGGTACTGACAGCTTTTTGTCTGGTCTGCTTAGAACCAGAAAAACAAACTTTGAGGATCTTCATGTAAGAGAAAAGGATTAAAATGAGAGGAACGATGACGGAGATGACGGTGGAAATCAGTCCATAAATGTTATTGACTGTGGTGTCAGAGCAGGCCAGTTTAACAATAGAGTAGTTTCCACAGTAAACTTTGTTAATGATGTTCCCGCAGAGCTTTAAAGGTGCACTCAGTGCTATCAATACAGCAATTGCAAGAAAAGGGAATAACCACGTTACAGCAATAAGCAGAGCAATCTTTTTAGACGTCATGCGTGTGTTGTATTGTAGAGGATAACAGATAGCAAGATATCGGTCATAAGACATGATGGCTAAGTTCAGAAATTCTACACATCCATAAGATACCCACAGAAAATCTGCAGGAAACAAAAGGGAGCAGAAACAGTGTGAATGTCAGAGAGAATCTGAAGCAGAAGGAATGGAAACAACCCTGTACTACCATACAGCTCATTTACAAACAGGCTGCACAGAAAAAGGTACATAGGTTCATGTAAGCTTCTGTTCATACAGATAACCACAATGAGCAGAAGATTCACACAAACAATTAACATATATAAAGACATGACAATCATGAAATACAAATATTTAAAAGCCCCAGTGTCGAAGTAAGCAACAAGTGTAAAATATGAAAACTGTGTGGAGTTTATCATGATCCTGGTTCTTAAACAATTATTAACAGAGTTCATTAGATAAACATCTTGCAGTCATACATTTTCTCACAACTTTGTGAAAGTTTAATAAGTTTAAATGCATCATTGTAAAAGAAAGCATCAATAATATAAACACACCTCTGTGTATCAAAGTTACTATTACATTAGTTAATGTCACTATAACACAGGTTGTGAGAACGGATGCGTTCAACCATTGATGTGCTCACCTGCTGGAGTCACACTGTGACTGCCTCCCACCTGAGCTCAGACACCTACTGCACAGCAGCAGTCTGACCTGATTATCAGATGACACACTGACTGTTACTGATTTGTTTGTTCGATCGTTGTTGAATTTTAAAAACAATAAGATTAGTTGTTGGTCACACACACACACACACACACACACAATGTTAAGCAGCAGACTGATTTGTGTCTAACAATGCAGTGCAATTAAAACATGGTCTTGACTACTGTTATAACGGTCTGTACATCATTATTAAGTAAGTAGTTAACAGCTTGTATATTCTGTGTGTAAAATATACACCCTTTCATGTGAAGACATGAAAATATACAACACTTCACCAAGTTCGCAAATATTCTTCATACATTTAAATTCTTACAAGCAGAATTCAGTATGGTTCTCCCATTACTGTTCAGAATACGCCCAAATATAACTGCAGTGCATTAAGGAGTAGACAGGAATCCAAAGTTGAATACACGGGCAAAGATCAAATTCAGGCAATGTAGGTAGAAACAGGAAACCAAGACATGAGCACTGAGCAACATAACAAACTGGCAAGGAACAAATGAAATGAACTGGGATATAAGGTGAGCGGGTGATGAGATGAGGGAAAGAGCTGCAGGTGAAGAGTGGGTGGAGCAGGCAGGGTCACTGCAGGAGAGTCAGGTGAAAGGAGGGACAGTCTGAGGTACATCTGGTGGAGAGCTTAAGGATGGCAGGTCTGGGGAGACGGAGACATACAGTAAGCTGCTTTCACACAGAGATCCCGTCATAAACGTGGAAAGAATATCCGCCAATATGCCGCAATTGCTCATTCATACTGAACTAAAGATTGCGGCATAATCCCGCAATCGTGTGAGCTTTCACATAGTGATTCAGCTTTCCGGGTTAGATGATGAACAAAAAAAGACCGTGACTTGTAACACAACAGCGTTGAAACCAACACGTTTTAACTTCCGACTCGTCACATATTGACGCTTGGTCAAGACCCTTTGGCGTCGCTTGTTAACGCCCTGGGTAACCTTTTAGTCATTTTTAGATGTTAAGGGCTTCGCAGTCAAGTTCGCAACACTTAGCAACAACAAATATGCAATGTCCGGTTAGACTTTCAAAATAAAACACTAGCGTTTCAAAACATCGCCATTTTGACACAGCACGTTATTAAAGTTGTGAAACGTAATTTGGTTATGTTTAGGCCCAAAAACGACTTGGTTAAGGTTCGGAAAAATCATCATGGTTTGGGTTAAAATAACTACATACGTCAGTTAAAATGTAACTTAACTTACTTGCGTAACTTATGCAATTTACATGACTCGCTCCACTTCAATACACATATTTAACGTTGACTTTTTGTTTCACACAGGACACGAACCCCAGTCTCCTGATTCAAAGTCCGGGTTCTGGTCCTCCATCCACCTCCTTACTCAGTCTTTTCTGTTAAATATCATATACCTGCCTTTACCGTCAAAAAACGACGCTACAGGGCTCCCCCCCCTGCGTTGAACTATGACGCTATAGGGATCCCCAGTGCGTTACAAACTGACGCCGATGGGTCTTGACCACGCGTCTATATGTGACTGGTTCCGGCATGCCGGCGGCGGCTTTCCACAGAGACCTCGTTCCGGCTCTGTTACTATCAACTTTCCTGACTCAGAAGTGGATCAAATCTGACCCACCTTTCCAGCTCCGTACCTTTCACACAGCGCAGCGAGACGGCATATTATAAAATAAGGCAGTCTGAAAGTGCCGATGTAGAGAGAATAGCTACCTTATCCCCTGGACTGGATGATCTAAAACCTCAACAGTCTCCCATAATAGAGAATGACTAGCCCGTAACGCAGTAGCCCACTGAGCAGCCGTACTGGTCATTAACCCAATCATGTAAGCTACACGGGACTTCTAGACATGTGTAAACTGAAATGTGAACTGACCACAAGAATCCAGATTACTGGAATAATGTTCAGGTGTAAGGAATAAAGGCGAAGAGAGAGGTTGTTGCTGAAACCAAAGTCACAGCCACTGCTCCGGGTGAATAAACAGACAGGTCAGTGGTTCTATGGGGAAGTTGTCCGTTGAGTTGATTAATACTGATAGAAAGATTGCGTTAAGTGTCCATTCCCTCATGCAGAGTCCTCTTGTTTTGTCAAACCCGAACCCCTTGGTTGGATAAAACATGCCGAAGCTTGGACGTGTCTGCTGGGTCCATGTTGGCCAGATTGTTCTGTTACATTTTGTGTTTGACAGAGCCAGGAGCGGACATAGTAGACAAGCTCCGTTTGCGTCCTTTTAATCTTCCGTCAGCTCCATATCTTCCCACGGATATTGTGTACATACCTCGTCGGAAATATATACATCGCGGGTCTCGGCGGAGTTACAACATTGATGGCTCATGTCAAATACGGTCCTTTTGGTCATCTAAACCACGCTCACCGAAGAGGCTCTCATGGACTGTCGATCAGTGTATTAACCAACCTGGCCAGATCGGTTGGCAACGATTATGGTAAAAACAGTTTTTCCTTTGGATTATTTAATATACGATCTCTCTCTAATAAAGGACCTTTGGTCTACTGTCTGACCGTAAGTTTGACTTTCTCTGTCTAACTGAGACATGGCAGAAACCAGACAACTTTTTTCATCTAAACCAGTCTGTTCCCCCAGGATATAGTTAAGTTTGTAAGCAATACTTGCTAGCAATACTTTATAAAGAGAAATTGAAAGTATCTCAGTTAACTTTGTCTACATATTCTTCTTTTGAAACAACTGCCTTAAAAATCAATGGTGCAATTCCTACCATCCTCACAACTATTTACGTCCTCCCAAGAGCAATAATGCCTTCTTAACTGAACTATCTGAACTTTTGACTTATCTATCTTCCATGTCTCCAAATGTAATCATTCTGGGTGATTTTAACATTCATATAGACAATGTCAGTAATGCATTTACATGTGAATTTTTATCATGTTTGGATTGCTTTGGTATGCAACAATTTAACACATTGCACACTCATACTAAGGGGCATACTCTTGATCTTGTTTACTGTTCTGGTATAACACCTTATAATTGTACTGTTTCTGATCTGTCCATATCAGATCACCTGCTGGTGTCCTTTTGTGGCATTTAAGGTAAACCCGTATCGTTCGATCACATTTCGGAATATTAAGAACATTGATGTGCCTACTCTTGCTGATGAACTTGCCATCTTCTCCAGTAAAATGAATTTATCTGCTGTTGATGAACTAGTTACATACTACAATGATGGACTGAACATGATTTTAGATGAATTTGCACCTGTGAAAACTCGAACTGTTTCATTTGTACACCTGAACTACGTGAACTTAAAACTAAAAGCCGTTGGATAGAGCGGTTATATGTCAGGTCTGGCCTTACTGTTCATAAAGAAATGTATGCTGAACATATTCGAAATTATAAAAATGCACTGTCCAAGGCTAAATCTGATTACTACTCCAACATAATTGGTAATTGGAACTCCAGGTCCCTTTTTTTCTGGTGGTAAACAATATTCTGCAACCACCTGATTCTCTGCCATCTGATATGTATTCCACTGACTTATGTGATAGTTTTTTGACTTTTTTTGCATCTAAGGTTGAAAAGGTACATCAGAAATAAGGCCTACTTACTGGTACTCTTCACAATGACTCCTGTCAATCAATCACTTACATACCTCCCCACTCTGTTTTCTCTAACTTTACACTACCAACTACTTCAGAGATAGTGGGTCTGATAGGTAAATCTAAATCTTCGACTTGTCAGTTAGACCCTCTACCTACTCCTTTAGTGAAAGCCTGTTTACCAGCCATGTCGCCAATGATTACTAAAATTGTTCATGCTTCACTTGTTTCTGGTTCTGTATCTTCATCTCTTAAATCTGCTATTATTACTCCCATTCTTAAGAAACCAGGGGGAGATCCATTTAATTTTGATAATTTTCGTCCATTTTCAAATTTACCATTTATCTCTAAGGTAGTGGAAAAGTGTATTGCAGTTCAAATTCATGAACATCTTTCTAATAATAATTTGTATGAACAATTTCAATCTGGCTTTCGTCCTCACTATAGCACTGAGACTGCTCTTGTCAGAATAACCAATGATCTACTGTTGGCAGCTGACTCTGGGCTTTTATCCATTCTTGTCCTTCTAGACTTGAGCGCTGCTTTTGATACGGTCTCGCATAAGATACTTCTTGACAGATTAGCTTCTATTGGTATTACTGGCACTGCTCTGTCTTGGTTTAGGTCGTATCTATCTGGACGCAGTCAGCGTATTCAATTAAAAGGTTTTCGATCAAGAACATCTATAGTCACTACTGGATTTCCCCAGGGTTCTGTCTTGGGCCCGCTTCTTTTCATTAATTACATGCTCCCTCTTGGTTATATTTTGAGGAAATATGGGATTCATTTCCACTGTTATGCGGATGACACCCAACTCTACTTGTCTGCCAAACCCACTGGTTCTTTCCCACCACCATCTTTGTCCAGCTGTTTAGCTGAAATTAAAGATTGGCTTTCTGCTAACTTCTTGAAGGTAAATGGCAACAAAACTGAGGCTTTGCTTATTGGCACTCGATCTGTCTTGTCTAGATCTAATTGTCTTTCTTTGGACATTGACAATACTGTAATCTATTGTTCTTCACAGATAAAAAGTTTGGGTGTCATCATGGATAGCACACTATCCTTTGAAGCTCAAATTAATAATATCACGCACATCGCATACTTCCAATTGCGTAATATTAACCGTCTCA